ATTCATAGAATCACAGAATGATGGAATGGTTTGGGTTAGAAAGGACCTTAAACCTCATCCAGTTCCAACCCCCTGCCAGGGGCAGGGACACCTTCCAGTAGACCAGGTTGCTCAAAGCCCCATCCAACCTGGCCCTTGAACACTGCCAGGGATGGGGCAGCCACATCTTCTCTGGGCAACCTGTTCTAGTCAAGCTCACAGTGAAGAACGTCTTCCTTATATCTAATCTAAATCTACCCTCTTCTACTCTAAAGCCATTCCCTGTTGTTCTGTCACTACAGGCCCTTGTAAAAAGTCCCTCTCCAAATTTGTCATAGGCCCCCTTTAGGTATTGGAAGGATGCTATAAAGTCTCCCTGGAGCCTTCTCATCTCCAGGCTGAACAAGCCCAGCTCTCAGCCTGTCTTCACGGCAGAGGTGCTCCAGCCCCTGATCATCTTCATAGCATTCCCCTGGAGTCACTGCAGGAGGTCCAAGTCCCTCATGTGTTGAGGGCCCCAGAGCTGAACACAGCACTCCAGATGGGGCCTCATAAGAGCAGAGGAGAGGAGAAGAATCACCTTCCTTGACCTGCTGGTCACATTTTAAAATTCCCTAAAATTCCATATAATGTGAAGTGACATTTCATTACATATCTATCTTGTGGGTGAAGTTCATTCTGTAGGCTGAAATGTGGTATTGGAATAGCATCCATGCATTTGGAATTCCTGAATCACCTTCTAGACAGGAAGATATGTTCTTTCTGTTAAATCAGACAGTACAAGCAAACAACTTTAAATATTTCTCCTGTAATTGTAGCAAACATATTTATAATCTATACAGCAACTTCCATGTGATCAGGTAGATAAGCATCTAAAAAAGTGCAGATGAGATAAACTGTGAGCTGCTGTGGTTTTGGTTTGACTAAACTGTGTCATGTACAAATGAAAGTAATCTTGCTAGCCATCTGCAGACAGTTCCTGCTCCTCTGAGTCTTCCTGTCGTTAACACAACTGCCAAGAGGTGTGATCTGTAAGCAGTTGGAGTGTAATACCTCAGAGACAGGTTCCCTACTCTTCTGTAGTATATGCACAATGAAATGTTTTCCTTCCAACAGTTTTACAGTATCTTATAAACTAACTGTTTGGGATTGAAACACAATGGTCTCCTCATAGAGACTGTCCTATGGATTTGGGGAAAAGTGGCTCCATATTCCTATCATGAAAAAGTGATGGCCAGCATGGTTAAGGGAGTGCTGCCTGGATGTATCTTGACTCCAATGCAACTGCTTGGTAAGCTCTCCACACTGGGGGTACCACCCAAGATCTTTCCAACAGCTGTTGGGAAGGCAGAGTGGACCTCAGTCAGCTGCAATCAGGTTTATTAGATCAACTGCAGTGCCATAATAAAGACCTGAGGGTTTATCTGGCTTCCAGAAGGCTGGGAGGGAGTAAAGGAAGTAGCCTTGCATCTACAGCATTTGACCATTCCTGTTCTGAGACAAAAGTAATGACAATTGTGGTGAACACTGAAGTCAAAGCTTTCATTGTCTGAAAATTTGCTGTGTTGGGTAAATTTTAGATTTTACAATGTATTGTTTGAAAATTTGCTATGTTGGGTAAATTTTAGATTTTACAATGTATTGTTCTTAATAGCTCTGCAAGCATTGCATAGGAAGGAATAGACAATGTACATTTTGGTTTGAGCCCTGAAAAATATGTTTGTAATTATTTTTATTTTTTTTTCTGGGAAGGGTGAGCTCTTCTACACGTTCTATGACCTTTTCTGACCCCAGTGGAGAGATAACCTGCTCAAGAAAGACTACTCTCTGCATCTGATTCGGTATTTAGCAAAACTCAGCTTCAGCCCTCCTGTATTGACATGTTGAAATACAGCCTGTAGGGTTTTTCTTTTCTGCCAGCTTCAGGAGTTTTTCCAAATACACTAACATCATCCAGATAATACTAGATTCCAGGCTTGTTATTAAGAATTATTAGCATATTTGAAAAGCTCTGGGTGTTGATTCAGGTCCATATGGCTTACGATCAAAAGAGAAAAGTTCCATTATGTGTAATAAATGCTGCAAAACTCAAGCTGTCTGGACACTTGGCAATATGCATTCTTTAAGTCAAGAGTAGAAAACATATTCTGTAACAATGACATCAGTATCTGTAAATGGTTAACTGTCAATCTCAATGGCTTTGTCTGGCTTCCCTAAGTCTACACAAAACCAAGTATTCTGGTTTGCATTTTGTCAACAGTGTGCTGAAACTAATTCAGAAAACACAGTGTTTCCATCAGTACAATTCTGGGCTTTTTTTTTTTTTTTAATTATCTTGTAACAGCATCTCTCATTCAGTTGTAGAGAATATAATCTTCATTGCAAAACCTGGCACTTTAGATCAAATTGTCATGCTATGAGTAAACATTTCCACATAATAGCTGATACTATTTATTTTGTAAGAGCTGAAACTGGAGTTTGTATTGCAGTGGGGTTTTGTTATATTGAAGCAATCCACATAAATACACACACACACACACTTGCGTATGTAGTGCAGTTCTCAGATTTCTGCTTAAAGGGATTACACAAAAAAGCCAAAAACCAAACAAACAAACAAACTAAAAAAAAACAAACAACAACAACAAAACAAACAAACAAAAAACCAACCCAAAACCCCTGACAGTATGTATCAAAAGTGACTTTTCTATGCAGGAAACAAGAACAGTGCTTTTCATGTAGCTTACTGTATAACATCAAGTGTTAAACTTCTGTAGCATTGCAGTCAAATGCATTCAGAGTACTGAAGCTCAGAAAACAGTGTCCAGTGTTATTTTAGTAACATATGACTATTATGATGCAAGAAAAATTCATCCCTAATAAATAACTGCTTTCATCCATGGTGAAAACTGTACATTTGGCACTGTAATGCCACATAAATATTGCTTAGGTAGAAATTCATTATATGTTTTAATATAACATCTTGCTGCAGTATTTACAGGTTATCCAATATGGATTACAAAGTGCTGTGGAGGCAGCAGTAGTATATTTACACACACATATGCACACACATACATGTGTTACGTATGCTGTAGTATGCATCATTCTAGTGGCTGCAGTTTGAATGCAGTTCACCATTTCTCAGTTTTCATATTGCCAATTCAGTTAGAGAAGCAATGGGTACAATCTCTTGCAGTGTCAGGTCCAATTCACGAGGTAAGTACTATCTATAATCAATAGGAAAAGCTTTCTTCCATAAGCTAAACTTGACCTTTTCCTACTGTGCCTCTAGACTTGCACCTGATTTTTAACTCCCTTAAAGTAGCAGTGTGATGTTCTGTTGAGTCACTTGGTTTCTGTGTGTGCTGGCAGTACTTATTGGATTCAGCCATGACATTAATTGCAGTAAGAAATACCTAATTTCAGGAACATATTCTTCTTCTTTTTTTTTTTTTTTTTTTTTCCACCATGAAAGCATGGAGAATGCACACCATCTCCCTGTGGCTTTCTTTTGGTTTGCCTTCTGCAGGAAAGCCAGTACCATTAACTGTAGGTATAGGTTTTCCAACCCTTTGCAAGTCAACAGAAGGAACCTGGGAGCACCTGAACTTCATAGGAATTATGGAAGAGAATTAAATGACAGCACAGACACTCCACTAGGTGAATGGAAAGAATGTAATAATAAAAAGATTATTCTAGGCTGAGATTTCTATTTCATAGAAATACCAAATGAGAGTCTCATACTGACTGCAACAGGCAATACTAGAAACCAACCAAACCAACAACAATAAGAAAAATAAAATCACAAAGTCAGATTATCTTACAAAGTCCTGGAATTTCTTTTACCTGACAAATGTCCTCCCTCTGTCCAGCATCAGTGCCACAACATCAGAGCTCTCCTGAGTAATGGAAGTTCAGTTCATGTTATGTACATGAAGCAACTGGATCATTATCTACCCATGAACGTATGGGGAACTGATGCAGAACATTTTTCAGTATTAAACTAGCCACTTATGATGGGAGTTACTGACAAATCTGCCTACGCTTTTGTGTTCTGTTGTCCCTCCAATACTGAAAACAATGAAGGTGTGTCAAAGGCAGTATTAATGAGATACTTAATTACTGCAGATGTAGGCTTTTAGCTTGGGGTGTGAGATGTGAATGAAGCCTGTATAGTGGAGGACTAGACAGTTACTAAAGGTGAGGAAGTGCAAAAGGGAGAAAAAGGCAGTAGGAGATAAGAGACAGAAAACAAAGTCAAAGAAACACAGACAAATAAGTAATACTAGTACCAATCATTTCTTTTCCGAATGTTAAGGTGACAAAGATGGCATGCAGCAAGTCACAAACAAATATATAGCTGCTTTAACAACTGGATGATTGTAAAAATTTTTACACAACCTAACTCTTTTGAATTGAAAACATTTCAACTGCAACAACATATTTTCTCAAGACAATTTTCAAGGCATACTCAAACCCTCTACTCAAAACTATATACTCTGGAATCAAAACTAAATTTAGAAGCAGCTGTTTTAACATAATTTTGTTTCATTCTTGTCTTTATTTAAAGGGGAAATGACTTAGGAAATCTGGAAAGATGTCATGGTGAAGAACTATCTTCCATGTACCATTTCCAATGGGAACAGAACAGTGAGGAGGAAGAGCGCAATGAGGCTGCAGCAGTAACACTCTACACCATGTGAGCACTCAAGACTGTTTTAGGAATACTATCAAGTCACCACTTTTGCTTCCTTTGGGGCAGCCTGGTCCTTTTCTAGATAAAACAGCCTGTGCATTGTGGTTGCTGGGAGTGATTTCTTTTTTTTTTTTTTTTTTTTTCCACCCCATTAAATCGTACCTTTGTGGGCAAGTAAGGTTTAAGTTACAAAAGGCATAGCAGCAAGGCAGAACAGGGGTGCTGCTGGGAGAGGGAAGAAGGAGGCAGCAGGGGCTGAACAGATGGATACACAAAAGCCTGAATAATTTGTAACTCGTTTCAGTCTGAACAACGAATGCCAAACATATTTCAATAGCATTGCAAATATACTTTAATATTTGGGGGAGAGGAAGAAACTGGGGAAGAACCCACAACATCCTGCCACTCAGGAAGGTGTGCTAAATCTTCTCATTAACATTTCGTGTGTATCTTAATCCGAGGTCATCCAAGAAGAGAACACGTCCCTCGTCAGTTTTACGAGCGCAGCATATCAACTCCTTTGTTTACACTGGCACACGAAGATGTTCTTTCCTGCTCCAGCAACAGAAGGAGCCGAAACCCTAACGTGAGATCTCTCCGAGCCGGCACCTCTTCGGCCAGCGGTCGGTCTGCCAGACTTCGGCACGTCGCTCCCAGCGAAGCAAGGAGGGAACCGCCGAGGCGACAGGCACGACACCGGCCCCACGGCACCTCGCTCATCGCGGCACAGCACGGGCAGGCCCCGCCGAGCCCGCGGGCTGCCCCAGCCGTAAGTAAAGGGTTTCGGCGTGAAACAGGGAGAACGGCGGGAGACTGGGGTCGAGTAAGGGCCCGACACCGGCCACGACCGCCACCGATAAACACCCGCCCCGCCCCGCCAGCGCCCTCAGCGCCGCGTCCCCGGGGAGCCGCCCCCCCGCCTGCCGCGCAGCACCACGGGAGCTGTAGTCCAGCACACCGATCCCCTCCCTGAGCTCCCCCCGCCCGCCGCCGCCCCCCGGCCCGGGGCAGAGCGGCGCCGCGGCCACTCTCGCGAGGCTTGGCGTCGGGAGATCTGTCGGGCGGGCTGCTCCGCCACGGGGATGTTTGGTGCGGGCGCCATTCCCCCGCGTGACGTCATAGTGCATTGTTGTGAGCGTAGCGGAGCATCCCTCAAGCTGTCAGCTGTGCCGCCGCCGCTGCGGGGAGCCGAGCCGGCCCGGCCCCCTCTCCCCTCCTCCTCCTTCTCCTCCTCCTCCTCCTCTTCTCCCGCCCCTCCCGCCCCGGGGGCTCCAGCGCTCGGTGTCACCGTATCATTGTCCGTGCGGAACCCCTCCGGGCCACCCCCTCCCGCCCGTCAGTTTCCCCGGTCCGCCTTCTCCCCGCTCCCCTCCCTCCCTCTCTCCCTCCCACCCCCCCCTCCACCCCCCCCGAACCACCTCAATGAGATGCAAACATGAAAGACAAGAGGAAGAAGAAGGACCGCACCTGGGCCGAGGCTGCCCGCCTGGTAGGTGCCGCGGCAGCATTGTGTGTGTGTGTGTAAGTGAGTGAGTGTGTGTGTGAGTGAATGTGCGTGCGCCGCCAGCCCGGCGCGCTGCCCGCCGCTTTGTTGCCGGCGACTGGGGCCGCTGGGGCGAGCGTGCGTTTGAGGGAAGGAGGGAGGAGAGAGAGAACGAGAGAGAGTGTGCGTCTGTGTGTGTGTGCGCGAGAGGGAACTCTGTGAGAGGGAGAATGAGGGGAGAGAGCGTGTGTGTGTGTGTGTGTGTGTGTGTGTATGTGTGTATGTGAGGGAGCGCGGAGGAGTGCGTGTATAAGGGAGTGCCCCTGAGTGTGAGGGAGCGCCTGTGCGGGAGCGGGTGTGCGGGCTCGGCGGAGCTCGTGCGAGTTCGTGTGTGTGTGTGTGTGTGTGTGTGTGTGTGTGAGTGAGTGTGAGTGAGTGTGAGTGAGTGTGAGTGAAAGGAGAGGCTGGGGTGCCCCGGGGTGAGGGTGCGAGCCCGTGTGTGGTGTTGGTGAGAGGGTCCCCCCCCTCGCCCCAGCAGTGCCGGGGCAGCCCGCTCGCAGTGCCGGTAAGCCCGGGCTGGCGGTACCGGCAGCCCTCAGCCCCGCTCCCGTCCCCGCCTGGAGAGAAGAAATAGCTACGTCCCTTCCGCGGTGTATGTGTGAGGAAATGCCTATATTCTTTTCTTCTTTTGCATGACTGTCTGTAGATAGCCAGGGGTTGTTTCTATCTCTCCAAGTTCACGCATCAGATATCCCACGAAATCCCTCCTTTTAATGCTAGGGAAAAGTGAGATATCCGCGAATTGCCTTTTATCATCCCTTGAGTGAGGACTTTAGAGAGAACTTTGTCCTGCGATTTCCCTTCACCCCCTCTGCTTCCTCCACTGTGCAGGGAAATATCCAGGGCAGTCAGACCCACTTCTGGAAAGGCTCCGTGGCTCTGGAGACCTAGCCCATTCCCACTTCATTAAGAAACTGTCTCCTTTACACTACTGTATCTGTTTTCATGATTCTGTATTATTGTTTGCTAAGTGTGATAGCACGCATTGTTTATGTTGTTTTTTCAGTTTTGAAGTATGTACAGGTTCACTCCATCCTAGGAATTTTACAATAAATACTTACACACGGTGCATCATATATGGTTGTACGCATTTGTATGTGTGTCTTCTGCAAAGTTGGGTCTGGTTCAGCTTCAGCTGGGTGCTTAGAAAGATGGCAAAGATGGAAAGATAGGCTGCTGATTATATTGCTTTTTGTGTCTACACCAACTTTATCTGTTCTCTCTCGCTGATACAGAATTGCTTAAGTGGCATGTCTGTGCATCTGGTTTTAGTAATGGATATTCATCTCATTCTTATTACTTGTTTAGTAGTGAAGCACATTTTTTATAAAAATGTTTTCACCTTATATGAAATTTCACCTTGTTCCTGCATAGGAAGTTCAGCCTCTCTCTCTCCTATGTAAATAATTATAAGGTATTAGACGGACCCTACCTATAGATGTCTCTGCAAGCTGTACTGAGGTGTTCTCATATGGTTGGTCAGTGCTAAATTCTGATTTGGCTCATTGTACATCCTACAGCATTTTGTAACACTGCAGCTTTTGCAACGATGTTCTGATACAGTGTCGCTCCTGTACCCTCATTTCTCACAATTGTAACAGAAGTTAAACTGTCACCTTTGCCGTAATAATTTTGTCAGTGAATGTTGCCACAGTGCTACTTTCTCTGTGCTTTAAACTGGCAACATATATTCAAAAGTGTATAAAAGACATCAAATACTGTTCTGACTTTACTCTTTCAAGCTCCTACTGCAGTTGCCACTGTGTATTTTGTTTGAGAGATGTGCATGAAGGAACTTTGTTGTGTATCAAGTAAAATTGCTGTTCCCATTTGGTCCAATATATGGAAAAGTTTAAAGCCTCTGGAGAACAAGGCTGAGCCAGTGCTGAGGAGAAGGGTTGAGACACTTACCATGATGATGTATCACTTAATGCTCCCCCCAGAAGGGTCATGATTTGCTAAAATTGAGTAAAAATTATACACTGCTGTATACAAGTGGTGGAGATATGCAAGGTCCACACTGGTTTTGTCCAGCCTCCTGGGGTTGCCAAGTTGTGCAGAACTTGTCCCAAATTGTCCATTATGTGAATGATACATAGTGCTGCTCAGACCAACTACAGTCTTGCACCAGACTTTCCATGTAGAGTGGTGTATGTTTGCAAATCACAATGAAAGATTGAAGCCAGAATTGCTGCTCCTTACAGTGTTTTATGTTAGGACCCTGATGGTTCATTATGACTTTGTTTTCTTGGGATACATCAATAATGTATTACTGCAAGGTTTGATTAAATCAATTTCTTTCCAAAGGCAAGAAAACAATGAAGTGATTGATATCTACTCACACACACACAAAAAAAAAATCCAACAAAAAAAAAAAAAAAAACACCAAAAAAACCCACAGAAAACCAAAACAACAAAATAAAGACTCATGAGTTACCTAAATCAATATGTTGTAAAATTGTATGCTGCTGAATTATTTTGTGGAATGGGAGGTTGAATGAATAACATACCAAATGTATGGATATTTATGTATTAAATTTTCTACGAAAGCCCTTGCATTACAATACTGGGCTTTCAAAGTGAAGCGCTAAAAAGTAGGAAATGACAGAGGTAACATTGCTAGCTTTTTCACTCTGGTATGCAAGAGTATATATTGCAATCTAGCCTTTAAATTACAGACATGCGTGCTAATTTCCCCAAGTACTCTAAGTTCATGCACTAGAGCTGCTGATTTTTCATTCTGTTTTCTTTGTTTGATGTGTGGTACTTAATTTTCTATACACCTTTCAAACTCAGTGCAAAAATTTATTCTTGTTTTATGCTTCAGTCATACATACATAGCTATTATTAGCAACACCCAGTAGCTTCCCAAATGCAAATGTTTCTATAGTTATAACATGCCTGTGAAGTTAAGTATTTTGACCTCTGCTTTACCCATGCAGAGTTGAGGCATGGAAAGATTAAGTACCTTACTCAAAGCTGTTCAGGAAATCTGTGGGAGAGGCAGTTATGGTACAACAGCGTCTTCATAGTAGTTCTGTTTCATAGTCATAAAATCATCTTTGTGGCTACACTTTTGCCTCGTTCACTCTCTATTACTGTTTCTCAGTAATTATGAAAGAAATGGATATGGTCATGTCTCTATATTCAGTCTATATTGAAACTCATAATGCACCATGTAATAGTTACAGATAAAAAGGAGTACAAAAACTGGACTTGAGCCTGAAATCATTACACAGCTCTCCATTTCTCACATTCACAATGAAAGAAGCAGAAGTACTTTAGAAAAATATATTACATGACAGTCTTAAAATACATTATAATGTGTAAGTCTAAGTGGTGAGGCTCCAAACTAAGAGCAGTACCTTTACTGTGTTTTGGTATTTGATTAAAGGGTCTTTGAAAACTTAAGTTCCTGAAAGGCAGTGTTTTTTCAAGCTGTTCCCTAAATTTTTAAAGCATAAGCAGGAAAGGACTCCTGTTATATTCAGCTCTCACTGTAAATACCATGTATGTGATACAGGCAGTAAAACAGGAGCCACTGGCATGTCCTGTATTGAAACTTGATTTTGTGGAAGACGTATCCTGCAGAGTTGAATCTTTCTGTCTACAATACATTGCTTTTTCCCCTCATGCAAGCCTACTTTAGGGGAAGGCATAGCCCAGCTTACAAGCATTCCTGAGAGATGAACACATGTGCAGGATCAATGGAATGGTGGCATACCACTAACAGTTCATGTTACAGAGCCCATTTTGTAGAATACGCATTTTTATGGACAAAATTTCAACCTGTTTTTACAACCTGCCAAACGGGATATCTTTGATGTGGACTCAATATGTCAACTCATTGTTTACTTTGTATCAGACTAGGGCAATGCTTACATATGACCTGGGCATTATCTCCATGCCATTTTTCTTCTTTCTGTGTCTGATAGGCAAAGATAGAAATAAACTTAAGTACAATGAGATACACTTAAAAATGAGAACAAAAGAAAATCTTAACAGGAAGGAGGAGAAACATCCTGTCTTTTCTCTGTCTTTCAGTTGATTCTCATTTGATGAAACCATATTGTAGTTTTCTGGTCATACATGGAACTCATAAAAATTGAATAGAAAAGTGAAACACTTGAGTAGTTTAAGCAATTTGTAATGATTCCTTTCAGTTGAAAAATCTTGTATCAGTCTAGTTTCAGCTGATCTTAAACTTGCCGAAATTCACAAAATAGCAAATTCTGCCTCTTAATAATTCCATGCCATAAGATACTGCATAAAAAATACTGAAACAAAAATTACTGAGAATAAAATGTGTCCAAGGATACTCTGCCTCACAAGAACTGATAGCAGTTTTAAGTAGGTAGGAATGATCCAGCTTTTTATCACTTGACTGCTAGACATGATCCTTTTGTTATCTGTGGTACAGAAAAGTGAAAGAGGCCTGAACAAAAGGAATGGAGGCTTCTCACTTCAGGAATGCAGAGCTCAGTGTTTGTATGAAGCACAGAACATCTACCCATGAAGGGTGATAGTTTACAGTAACATTTTAAAAGGATTTTTTATGAATAGCTTGCCCTTATTACTGCCCTCTTCTCTTTCCTGTAAGTGGTGTTTTGAAACACAGTTCAGTTAAGTCTTTACCACTAGTTGACAATAAAGCAGAAGAAAATTGGGACTAACAGTAGGGTTGGGTTATTCATGTGTTGGGCCTCCTCTCCAGTATTTTTGCTCCTTCTCCAACCTGCATTCTGAAAGAAAGGTTTTCTTGTGTTACTGAAGAATATGTACTTCACAGTGCTACGCAGAGTCCTCATGGTTCAGGTAGTTTGTGCATGTTGGGGGAGTAATACTCATACCTTAATTCTTGTATTACTTGCACTAGTCTCCTGATTGGATCCAGCTCTGAATTGAGAGTTGTTTTCTTGCTCCTGTAAACTTTAAGAAAATTATATGAATTAATTAAGAAAACCAATGCAGAAAAAAACCCCAACAAACTCACAAATAACCAAACCGAACATGAAAAGCACACAAGTCCATTGGAATTGTTAGCTTGCATGTTACTGTTTAAAGTGGCTGGCTGTCCAGAAGCTGATTGCTCCTTCATCTGGTCTTCTAAGATAGTGGAG